AAAAAGAATCAACTGAAAATTCTCTGAGACAGATGAAGAAAACACTGTGTTTGCCGGAAAAGTACTGTAGCTGCCGGAAAAATCAGTGTAGTCGCCGGAAAAACTCAAAGTGGTCGGAATTAACAAATAAAAATATGGACAGGCTCGGAATTGCAGGGCGATCCAACTGTCCTGAAGAAGCGAAGCCGAAAAATGGCCGGAAGAGGCCTCACGCGCCGGCGCGTGGGACAGACGCGCCGCCGGCGGCAGAGTTCCGACAGGCGCGTGACGGCGCGTGGAGGGCTATTTTCCGGTGATTTTTTCTGGGGTTTGGTCGGATCTCTCTTGGGAACCTTGTGGTGGTGTTGGATTTTGCACAACACTGTTAATTAGTGACTTTGACGCAATAAGTCACTTAGGTCACCGGAAAATTGCACGGTGACTGAGTTCTTTCTTCCCGGAAGTCGCTGGAATGATGCACAGCGATATGTTTCTCACTAAAGCTCTGATACCATGTGAGAAAGCACGGGAGAAAATATATTATTGATGTATATACATATGTTACAATGAGCCCTATATATATACACACATAACATGTCCTACTCCTAACATATATTGGATTAGGGTTATTTATTTACTCCTATTTACATGACTATTCTAACAGAAACCATTGCCAACTCTTAGGGAAGCTTTTTCGGAGATAAGGAGAGAAGAGAGTAGGCGGAAGGTGATGCTAAAACCAAATTTAGATTCAGATTTCAAAATGCTAGAGAACTCTGCACTAGCTGCGGTAAGAAATGAAACTGAAGGGGATAAAAAGAAAAAACCTTGGTGTGAGCATTGCAGGAAGCCGTGGCACACAAAAGAGACATGCTGGAAAATACACGGGAAACCTCCAAATTGGAAGAAAAAAGGGAATGATGGTCGATTTGGCCAGCCACTTGACAATCGAGCATTGCAGGTTTTCGGGGATGACAAGGGCCAACAGACTACTTCAGATTTACCTCAGTTCACAAAGGAACAGTTAGAGTTTCTGCATAATCTTTTCCAATCTCCACAAATTCGAGGTGGAAACACTCCAAGCCAACCATCTTGCTCATTTGTCCAAAGAGGTATCCTACCCTCGGTCTTTCTTAGTAGTAGTACCCCGCAAAAATTC